CTAAACTTACTTACATCGAGTGTCATACCCGAGATGATAGGAGCGTGATATCGGGAATCGTTTTAAACTTAAAAACATAGAAAATATACCCCTTTGGAAAGGCAAAGTGGTATAGTCCGACTTCCTGCTACGCACGCGCAGCCTGATCACGTGGTGACTGGGAGCCGGATGTCAGCTGGAATGCGCAGGCGCGGTAGGGGATTTTGCTACAGTGGCCCAGTCCTTGCAGGCACCCTGTATTCTCTGGGAAGATGTCTTATTAGCGGGGCGGGGGGGGAACACATTAGTGAACGAAGCGGTAGAAAATAATAGGGCAGATATTAGGCAAAAGCCACCTTTTTATTCATTTTCTCGGTAGATCGGGAGCCCTGGAGTGCAGAATAGGTCACCAGAGACATTAGCTTGTTTTTGCACCACTGTGGTTCTTAATCTCTTAGTGCCTCAACTTTCTCCTATGTAATATTTCCGTAATCCAGTTGTGAAAATCACGTGAGTTAATGTTTGCAACTCGCAAAGGGAAGCTTTAAGACATTTTCCTTGATCGTAGGAAACTTGTTTGGCTTACACTGCACTACAGCAGGTTTAGAGCTTAGAGCATAGTAAACACTTGAGAAATAGTATTTTGGCTGAGTGAATGCATAGCTGTGAAAGTTTAAAAACAATTCGAATGACCGCACAACCCATAGTTCTTCCCTCCTGGTCTGGCGTACCCAGTGCAAAACCCAAAGAGAATATTCTGGGGTCCAAGAAACCGCGATCTGAGTGCTGGCTCCACCTGATTACCTCATCTCTATCTGCATTTTCCTGGCTGCTAAACAGAGCTCGGGTCAAAAAGGGAGAAAGAGGAGCAAAATTTATGCCACTTTCTCACAACACAATTAGTGTCATTGTCATGTTACAGCTAAGTGAGGTATCAGAAACGGAAAATCCAGGTCTTTGACTGCAAAACCCACGCCTTCTGTCATGCCAGGCTCTCTTGTGCCTAAAGGGCTGATGGAGACCCTGCTCCGGATTGGATCTGCTCATAGGACAATGCTAATGGGTTTCAGCTGCAATCTCTCTCAAAGCGATGTGATCAGAAAAACGATGTAGGCTGGCCATCTACTTGTTGCAGGCCGGCCTTATATTATGGTCACTAAACCTGGGCAAATCTCCATTCTACTTCTCACCTCTCCTCTTTGTGGAACAGCGGGAGGGGTAGATTAGGGAGATAACAGGTCCTCCTGTCATGACTGACCCCTACACAGCACCTTACAACATCTCCAAAGGCCCCAGCAATCCATCATTTAACTTCATTTTCCCTCATCCTCCCAATAATCCCAGGCGACAAAGATACCACAGTACTGGCAACCCCATTTTACAGAAAAGGTGTAGTGATTTGTCCGGGGCCACATGACCAGAAGGAGCCTGAGCCAAATTGGCACCAAGGTCTCTTGCCAGAATCCCCTACTCCTTTTCTCTCCGAAGATCATGCATGGTAAGTGGAGTCCAGGCCTTGGATATTTGTCCCCAAATAAGGATGAAGAGGGAGCAATCCTAGGTCAATGGTCATTAGATCTGATTTTAGCCGGTCACTCCTCTCCGCTCATTTCTTCGTCCTTTTTCTTCTCTCTTCCAAAGTACACGGACCTCACCCAGCCCCCATCCCGGCCTTTTGGAAGGGCCTGGGATACTAGCAGCCAGGACAGAAGGACTCCTGGGTCCCTGGGATTTCGTGTGCTCAGCTGGGACTCCCTTTGGACACCCTCCCCACTCCAGCCTCAGCCTCCCGCCGGCCAGCCCAGAGTTAGAGGCGGGGAGGGGACTTTGTTTGGTTCCAGGGGGCCTGGGCTCACACAGGGGAGAGAGCAGTTAAAGCCGGGTCCCCGGGACCGAGACGATCCGGTGGCCCAAGCTGGAATGGGGAGACCAGCCAGGAAGAGCGGGTTTGGGACCGAAGAGGGGGCGCGTGCCAGCCACGCTAAGCCGCGTTACACCTCCATTAGCGCTTGGCATCCCCTGGCAGACCGCCACCCCCGGCCCCCAACCCTCTAGCGAGTTTCTAACCCCCACACTTGCCCCTGCAGCGTGGGCCGCCTTTCACCCGGGCCGGGCCGAGGGCCAGCGCGCGCTCTGC